GACAGAAAGCGAAACTTTAGTTACCTTTCTCTACTGTGTACTTACTTTATCAAGTAGCCAAAAGGTGGGAAAAAAATAACAATACGGATTGGTACAGGCTCTTGTTACCATATGGTCACTAAACAGAAAGAAACTTTCTCTCCCTCTATTTACCTTCTATAGAGTCCCATTACCACATACTGCTCCCACCACCATAGACTTTTGAGGGGGCTGGGAAATGAGGAGGGAGAAATGAAAGAAAAGAAAAATCTGGGGAATTTCTATACTCTCTAACCATTAGTAATTCTAGTTTCCACTGTTAGGGCTGGAACTAGAAATTTTCTGGAATGCTCTTTGCATGCAGCCCTGGATTTCTGGTGAATACTGCTGGCAATGTTAGAGAAGGGAAAAACTCTATTATGTTTTATATGGTTTAAGCCAGCCAGTTGCTCAAAGGCAGAAAGGTGTAGCATTATGTTTTTGTGATGATTACAGCCTTGGATACCCTGTGTGGCACTTCTTCTCTATTCTGTAGGGTTGCTCTGAGTCAGAATTGACTCAATAACTGTGGGTTTTTTATGTTACTATTGGAAGTCTACATAATGCATACCCCATAATATTTGGTAAGATATTCTGTCTTGTCCTACTAGCTAGCTACCTGTAAATGCTTCATGTTCCCAAATATTAATATTTCAAGATTCCATGATCATTTTTCTGTTTTTCATTTGTTGGATTTTACTAACATTTTAACTAATATTACTATCAAGCAGATATCAATTTCAAACTTATAAACATACTTATGATATAAGATAAAATAATATACTTTCTTAGAAATACTTTTCTGCGTCCTTAAAATCCTTATAATTTTTTCTTTGGATTTACTTTCTGTTCTTTTCTACTAAATTTATAAAGATATCATTTTACCTTTTTTCTATTTTCTTAGTCACCCAAATTAGGATTTCATTCATATGTACTCTAAAAGGCAATTATGGATTTGTTATTGTTTTTCATTGCTGTTTATGGTTGTTCAGGTCTTGCTGTTAACCTTTTGATGTAAATCTTTTATTTTTTTTTAAGGATCATCATCATCATATACTCTTTGTGAAATATACACATTTTTTTCTTATTAGGCATTCATTTAGATAGAAAATTGAAGGTTTTTCTTACAGTGCAATTATTATATTCCATCATTGAACAATATTTCTTTGTATCTTTTTCTTATAGAACACACAGTGGGAAAGGTTATTAAATTAGATCCTTCTGGATCTCCAAGAAAAGTCTGGGGGAAAAGTCCTACAGATTCTGTTCTGAAGATACTTGGAGAAGCTGAATTACAACTTCAGACAGAACTGTTAGAAAACACAACTACTAGAAGTGGTAAGCAGAGACAAATTTTATTGTATTAGAAGTCAGTATACAAATAGAAAATAGAAAACTTTTAGGATTTTTAAATTTTTAAGTGGGTTATTGGTAATAAATTTTGTTATGGTTGTCATTTTCTGTTGAAGTGGAGAATTGTCATATTTTCTTGTCACTTGTCCCTAATTGGGTAGTCTTATTTTTTGTCTCATACGACCTGGCTAGGTTCTAAAAATAAAAGACAAAGAAAATGTGTATGAAGACAATCTGATAAGTACAACCATAGAAAAAATGTCTTTAATAAGAAAGATATAGGAGCAAACCAGTAAGATGGATCATGCATGTTTTACTGTGGATTCAGGAAACAGACTGACTAAAAGGTGTAGTTGGTATAATAGATACCAAAGAGGGCACGTTGTCGGAAAAC